GCACTTCTTGTTCTTAAGTAATTTTAAATTTGCTTTCTTCGTCAAAATTGTTATATGCAAACTTATCTTGGAATTTTTTTCAGGCCTTTTATTGTTTTTCGTCTTTATTTTATTTCAATAAACACTGCATGGATTTATAATTAGTATCCTTTGTTGTTCAGTAAACCAAAATGATTTACAGTTTGTACTCTGCCATTAGATCGATCTGTTTACGGAAAATGAAGAACTATGTTATATTGGATACTGCCAGAGCAATTTGTTAGGCCTACCAATAAAATTGAATTACCATTTATCAGTGATGTAGGCCTACTGTAGGCTACATTATTTACACGAAACAAGTTTACGCTTGGAAAGTAAATGTATAACGTCGATAACAACACGGCGAGTAGGCCTTCACATCAATAAATCATCGTGAAAGGTGTTTATTTAGACAAAAATTTACAGAGAACAATTGTTCTGTATTCAGCAGCATCTCCAATTCTACACAAATGTAACTTTGGAGGGGCCATGTGGAGGGGGGGGGGGGCATCGAAATATCGTGCCGCTTCAAACATCTCCTTTGAGAAACTGCTAAAAATGGATCAGGTAATTTGCTTGCAAGCACGAAGTTTGTAGAACGGACACGATTTAACATTTTAATACGGGTCCCTGGGAAACAACAGGTTATAAAGCATTGCCTTGAGGTGATTTTTTTTACATTCTTGAATGGCCATAATACATGTATAATGTCACAGATCTAGTATTCCGTGACTGCTGTGACAACATAAGTATTACAGAAATCTAATTTTTTTAGTAATCAGCATAAATCTTGCCTTATAAATCATTAAAGATGCATACAAAGTCAATTTTTTTTTGCTACAAAAACTGACCAAATGACAGCATATAGGCCTATATACAGTGTATACATGTATAGTTTCAAGTAGTATAACTAAGAGAATTAACAAAAGGGATTGGCTAATTTTACCCGAAAATGATGTTTGAACGGGTTTTTCTGCTAGCATTCTATGCTGTACGTCAATGGAGCAGAAAGGTAGGTTACGAAAAAAATTAAAGAAAGGAGCAGTCTAAAGCTCTTTTTTGGCTGATCAAGTGATCTATTCAGTTTATCCCTTGGGATGTCGAATTTATTTGAGTCGTATAAGAGACTAGTAGAAGTGGTTTACATGTGTTACTGGGAATCCACGCTCCACCGATGCTCGGTTCGTATGTACCTTTAACTCTTACCAACGCAGGGGAGACTTTGTATATGTCATGATTAATTTTCGTTTCGAAGTATCACAAAATCTCATACTGGGAAATTTGCAATTTGGATTGATGTATGAAAACGAGGCCCAAATACGGAAAAAGGCAAAAGAACCCGGATATGATATCAAGACATCAAAACAATTTGTGATTGAGCAATACAGTGCCAGACCATATAAGTTTGGTGATTAACTGAAAAAGCAAAGTCTGTCGAAAGAATCGGGGACCAAAAACAGGTAATATATGTATGACAGAAGAATACACTTGTATTTCGACTAAAAGGATCTAACGTTTTAGGGGTATGTTCAGGGCGTTTGTTTGTTGATATATGACATTCTGATTGAACCAGCACACCTGGGCGGCGACAGGTGATATTATACCAACTGGTCATAGCCCTCATGAAGTCTGGCTGTCAACAGACGAAATATTGGCTGGTTGACCAGAGTCATTTTGTTCTATAGCTACTGACAAATGAAACTTCATCGGCATATTTATATACATGTAGTGTTCCCGAAATCCGTCGGTCAAGCGGACATGTCCGTCATGAATTAAAAAATGTCCGATGTGTAATGTCAGCATGTCAGTCACAATGTACGTAGACTTGTCTTTATAATTAAAACATGAAAAATTTTATGCTTTTCAAATGTCTGACCTATGGTCGTTTACTTATTTAATGTACAGTAGTTGGAGACCATCATCTTAGAGTTAGACAATAAAGATCCAATATGGTGAGTGTAAACGGAACTTTCATGTGACGTGTGTGTTTTGGGGATAAGTGGACATATTTAAAAATTATGATGTTGTATACACCATTTGTTTTCAGAATTAAATCACAAGGCTAACATGAGTGGAAAAGAAGCAAAAGCCCAAGAAGCTGGTCAACAACAAGGTTATCCCCAGGGACAACCCCCACAGTATGACCCTGCCTATCCTCCCCAGGGGCAGTATTATAACCCCCAAGCAGGGGCATACAGTAAGTTATACTACTACCTATATATATATATATATCCTGTTCACTGCTCATATAGCATTAGATCTCTCCACATTGATCATTCCCTTGTATAACTTTTTCGTCAGCCCTCCTGCTTGGCCATCCCCAGTCAGTGGTTAAACACTTGTTCTAAGAGTTACATTTTCACCAATAAGACAACTGAGACAGGCAGGAATAGTTTTCTGTTACATGGTTTATTCAAGCGCCTGAAGACTCGGGTCTCTTCTACCGTATCTATAACTATCTCTCTCCCTCTCAGTCTGTAAGTCCATCTTTTTATACATGAACTTAATTTACATTTTAGATTAACTTCTATTACTGACATGCGACATGCCATGCCTTAAGACCTTAAAATTTAATTGTGGATACAATTTGCATTAACGAATATGTAGATCACATATATGGAAATTAGCTCTCAATACTATTAATAGTTCACCGCATGCAAACTGTCATGCTTAGATCCATCTGGATATATTTATAATTGAACGATTATGTAAATGACATGTATTCAAATTTATGTTATCAGCTCTAATTAACGGTTCACTACACATATCTCCCTTTTTTACCGAAAAAAAAATTAAGGAACTTAATTTTTTTTTTTTTTAAACCTATTTCACCGACACCTATTTATACTGTACTCTGTAATTCATAGAATGTTAAGCTATAATACAAAGTACTTGAACATCTTCTAATCAAAGTTAACCAAGATTTAACAATAATAAAACAATTTTAGCTTCACATAAGCATTAAGGGACTTTTTTAAACAAACTTCAGCTTTGCATAGACAGCCACACCCATTTAAATATAATTATAAGACTGCTTTACACATTTTACTCAAATCAAATCAAATCAAATCAATATTTAGTACACATTTAACAGCCTAAGAACTTATCTTTCACAAAGGGTATGCATTAAAAAAAAAATCGGATGCAAATAAAGGAAAATACAACATACAATATTTAACAGAAAATTTTAGGAAAAACAATTTTTGGACAATTTACTAACCTTATTGAAAAAAATTTCCATTGAAGTGGATACCTCCATTTTTCTATACATTGATTAAAAGAAGAAATAATTATTAAAAATTACTCATGGACAACTTATCTCATTAAAAAAAAAAATGCCTTAGTTTGCAATGAGGTGGGTACCTCCATTTCTCTGTACCTTTCAAGTTCAAGTAAAGTTTTTCAGTTCTTTCTAACGCATCAAGGAACTCATCTGTTTTCTTCCCTTGTTTTTCATTTCTGTCTTTATCCTTGTAATAAGCAAGTATATTCAAATTCACCATATCATTGTCCCTTTCCTCAGTACGCAGATCATTCTCTTCCTTCACTTGTTCGTCATTTTCTTCATTGTCCTCATGGTAACACGCATTTTCAATCAGTTTGGCCTTATCATTGTCCATTTCTCCAACATGCAGTTTTTCCTTTTCCATTACTTGTTCATCATTTCTGTCATTTCCGTCATTGTCCTCATAGTATCTATTTTGTTCAATCTTTTCTTTCACTTGTTCGTCATTTTCTTCGTTGTCCTCATGGTAACACACATTTTCAATCAGTTTGGTCTTATTGGTGGCCATTTTTTCAACACGCAGCATTTCAACATCAGGGGTTTTCATCATCTTATCACAGGGGAACTTCAACATCTCATCATCAGCGGACTTCAACAGTTCAGCATCACTGGGCGACGACCTCTCTTCATCAGGGAACTGCAAGATTTCTGCATCTGGGGACTTTAATACATCAGAATCGCCACTGGTCATAAGGGGTTTCAAAATCTCAAATTCGGGAGATTTTGCATTGTCAGCAACATCACTGACCACATTATTGTTGCCTCCATCGGGGAGCTGCAACATCTCGGCACCAGGGAATTCTTCTTTTGCAGATTTGTCGGCAATGCCGCTGATCACAACCTCATTGCTCTGGATCCCCTCTCTAACTTCTTTCCCTATTGCTGTCTCTTCATCGCAGCTGTCATCACCCACTGTGGTTCTCTGCCCCACTTCCAGCCGAATGCTGCTTATTATTGCTTCAAAAGATAGTTCGTTTTCGTTGTCATACTCTGTTGTTTCTTCTTTCATTACTTCCCACAGATTTCTTAGGGAATTTGATAGTAAAAGTGCATCTCTCTTACTTGTTTCCTGCGTCTTCAGAACACTACTGATTCCACCCAGACAATCTAACAGCCTGCTGTAGATGTCTGGGTCTTCATACTGGTCCTCGTCTTCATACAGCATCTTGACTATAAACTGCCTTTCTGTCTCAGCTGCTTAAGGTGAAACCTGGGAGTTCGCCATTTGTAATAACCAGTCAGTGGTTAAACACTTGTTCTAAGAGTTACATTTTCACCAATAAGACAACTGAGACAGGCAGGAATAGTTTTCTGTTACATGGTTTATTCAAGCGCCTGAAGACTCAGGTCTCTTCTACCGTATCTATAACTATCTCTCTCCCTCTCAGTCTGTAAGTCCATCTTTTTATACATGAACTTAATTTACATTTTAGATTAACTTCTATTACTGACATGCGACATGCCATGCCTTAAGACCTTAAAATTTAATTGTGGATACAATTTGCATTAACGAATATGTAGATCACATATATGGAAATTAGCTCTCAATACTATTAATAGTTCACCGCATGCAAACTGTCATGCTTAGATCCATCTGGATATATTTATAATTGAACGAATATGTAAATGACATGTATTCAAATTTATGTTATCAGCTCTAATTAACGGTTCACTACACCATGCCATCTTTAATTCTCTTGGCCTTACCCTCTCTTTTGTTTTGTCCTTGGTTGCCCAAATGAGAACCACTTTTGGGTCCTTCCCTGAGGACATGGCCAGTTTGGGTTCTTTCCGTCATTTCCCAGTTGCTGATATTATTTGACCATAGAAATTGAGTTATGGGGTGCTTTAATGACCAAATTTTGTTAGAAAAATATTTACTTTATAAGTACAGTTATCTAGCTTTTCCTTATGATCATCAATATGAGATACTTATTTATGCTTTTGAAAACTCAACTACTAGTACATGATAAAATCTTCAACCTGTCAATTCAGGTAATTCAGGTAATCAAACTTACTTATAACCAGGATAATCAGTGGAGTTCATGTCAAGTAAATAAATCCAATCTTTTGATAATTCAGATTATTTTATATAGATATGTGGTTAATGTTACGTAATATTATCTTTTTTCTTTCAAAGATCAGCCAATCACTGGCCAGCCCCAGATTGTAGTGTACCAGCAACAACCAGCACACAACATCCCCGACCAAATGGGTTATGCCATCTTTGTCACACTTTGCTGCTGCTGGCCAATGGGAATTATGGCTATTGTCAAGGCCCTGGCTAGTCGGGATGCAATCGCCCGCGGAGATCTTGTGGAAGGAAAGAGCAAAGCTGAAGATGCTAAACGCTGGTCCCACTGGGCTCTTGGTGTTGGCATTGCTTTTTTTCTGATAATCGTGGTGTTCCTGATTGTGTTTTACACGGCCATTTTCCCTGGTTTGATTCGTGGTGATTATGATTAAAGTTAGTTCATTGTAATGAGCTACGGTAACCTGGACTCATTCTTCCATTCACAGATTTAATCAAAAATTAGTTTTTACAGTTATGACATTGGACATGATCAAAATATTTTCAGGGGGCAGGTTGATGAATATTTTGAGTAGATACTGAATTCCATTGTATTGTAAATAAAACTGGATAGTGATATCAGGTGAAAAGGAACAAATATATTTATTAAATAGGAAAACAGTCAAGAAAAGAGAAAAATATTAGTATTGTCAGTATTACATGCACAGATGACCTTAAGAAGTATATTAATAATGGTTTTGGTGTATATCTTAATGTAAAAAAAAAATGACCAGATAAATTTTTGAATAGATAAATGGACAGCTGGGATAGTGCTAACACTCACCAATTTAGTCAAATGCTAAAACCAACTTAAAGTGGCCAAACAAGATAGGGTTGATGTGACTTGTTTTGGTCAAATTTAAACCATTTGGAGAAAAAAAGTTACTGTAGTGATTTGGCTTAGTGTAAAAAATTGCTAGTGCTGCCGAAGCACAGAATGGTTTATCCAAAATTTTACTTTCTCCTGTATAACTTTGTGTTGTATTTGACCTTGGGGCCTTTAATGCAGGCATTGGGCTATTAAAGCAACAGTATGACTGGAAAAAATACCAATAGCTTCTTCTTCATATATGTTGGGTCTAGTTATATGCAGGAAGCCAGTAATTCCATTGCATTATCCTATGCAGATATTTTATTAGACTGACAGGAATGAGAATAATTACAGCTGTTGGCTGTATCATAAATAATAATAATAATAATGAAAAAAGTTGATAAGCTCTTTTATATCTTGCAGAAAGATCCAGAGGTGAACTTTTTTTGTGGCATAGATGAAGCACTAGTAGGCTCATATAACATCAAACTTTCATCATGTTAAAATATTACACTTTTACAAGGCAAGGTTTTTTTACCAGTTTGACAAAAGAAAAGGTTTTAAATGGCACAGACTTGCTATTCTGTGTCCAGTTTAATGCACATTTTGTAATTAACCAGAAATGCATGAAATGATAGTCTTCTTTGTGGTGCTTTCATCCTTATGATATGAAAGATTTTAACTGATGAAAATGAACTTGTTTCCTATGGAAATTTTTTAATTATTTATTTCTAATTAAGACATTTGGTAAAATTTAAACAGGATTGTTTGATGAACAGGTGGAGCATTCTTGTAGAAAAATATTTTCTAAACTTGAAAACATATTGGAATGCTTTTTATTTCCTGTCATCTTCATCTTTTCCATTCATATTTATACAATACCCAAGAATGGTTTTTTTTTTGGACAATTTTGGAATCTTTGTTTAAAACGAACAAAATGTATTATTTGATCTCTCTCGCCATTATGAGGCACCTTGCATAATCGCAAATTTTATTTCAACTTTACTTATGGATATATATATATACATATAAATTTAAATGGCATCTCATTTATTGCTTTCTTGATACATGTGGAAATATTTTAAAATATTGCAATAAATCAAAATTAGGAAGAAAAAAATCCTTATGTTATTCATATTCCACATACAGCCAAATCATTCAAGGTTTGTTTACTGTTCAGATCAATGGACATATAAGGGATATTTTGCTTAAAAAAATTAATAAATAAAAAATTTAGTTGTACGTGAAGGAAGTATGTTGTATGTTGTCCAGGTTCTCCTCTATACTATGTCGCACGCTGTGATGGCATATCGTTATAATTATAACCATGTACTGTGTGCCGTCACAACTGTAAGGTGATGTAACTGCCACAGCCTGCGATGTAAGTGTTGTCATGCTGTGAAAAAAATTTTTAAACAGTTAAAACATTATTTTAAGTTAACAACTCAAGACCGGAAACTCAAAAGTTGGGGGTTCACATGTCTAGTGTTTATTTATTTATTTTTAATTGTATATAAATGCTCTGCCTAGTTGAGCTCTCTGGATACGACACATACAGGGTATTATATGTGGTGTGTGTGTGTGTGTGTGTGTGTGTTGGAGGGCATTAACTCTTTCTTCACAAATCTTAAGTTCTTAAACATATGTCCTTGTTAATTTGACCTTGAAGATGGCTTAGGCATAAATTTTCAAATTTTTCAAACACAGTCAAATATTTTTCAAAAATATGTTGTGATGCGTCTGTGGCCCTTTTCACATAGATCAATATACTTTATAATTATCAAGACCTCATTTTGTTCACTTTGAGAGGCCCAAATATTATGTGAGACAATGCCTGAATGAAGTTCCTGCACTGGACATAAGTAATACATTAATTAAATAGCAGAAAGTGCACTAGTGAAAGCTAAGAAAACCTGTATTTGGTGAATTGTGATTACTAGTGCATGGTAAGACCTTCTGAAGTTCACTGGTACAGGCTGTTACACTTTGTGAAAAAGGGACAGTGATTTTCTGTGCTTGACAAATCACACACACAAAAGAAAAAATAAATTGCAAAATAATTTATTATGGTATCACTTGTACTAAAATTTCCATAATAAAGACCATGTCTCTTTTATAAATTGTAGTTATACATAGTAAGTATATGTTGTAAAGTATATAGACTACAATTGTTGAGTCACAGTCATTGTAAAATGTACTAAAAGGACACGTGAAAATGTTTTAAACTCATTTTAAAACTAATTAAATGTGGGTTAAACTCCCACCTTTGCAGAATATTGGGTAATTTGTTGATTCTGGCATTTTGTTTCTTACATACAGCACACCTAAAATAGTATTTGTTCAATGAAAGGCTCATCAAATCAGGGCAGAAGTAAGCTAAGTACCTGTGCTTTATTTCATAGGCACAATTAATTTTGGGATACGAAAGCCAAGATATGCACTGCCTTGGTGCATATACTGTATTATTATTTTAAGGGTACTGTGTATGTAAAAGAGACCAAATACCAGAATCATCAATCTATCTGTACCTCGGTCTTGGAAGTCATCATTCTTGGTATACCTACGTTTTACAAGACTAAGCCTAGACAAATTATTATCACACTTGTCTCTCATCTTTATTTGATAATAATCAGGCCTACCCAACTACCAGACTCAGCACCTTATGATGATATCAGACCACAATACCCGTTTTCAAGGTGTGTATCAGTACGCGCTTTGAAGTATCAGACGCGACACCACTCTTGCCTAGTAAGCAATGTGATAGTGATGATTCTCAGCGGGTTTGGAAAGTAGTGCATCTCATCTCAAACTTTGTATCGGGGGTATGATACTGTTAAATGTGTATTGACGCACACCTTGAAAACTGGTAGTGTGATCTATCTACCAGTGAATTCGGGATCATTCGGTGCCGAGTATGGTAGTTGGGTAGGCCTGAAAATAATAATAATAATAATAATAATGTTATTGAGGTTTGTTATTTCTTCGCAATATATATATATATATATATATATATATATATATATATATCATAATTGCTTCAAATATATTGGTTCCATTCCAACTCTTTCTCACCTCCCAGGGGAGAATACAACCCGTTGCAAGCTGCGCACATATGGCACTCAGTTATACATAACCGACAGAGTGCTATCATGTGGCCAAGTGTTTTTACCCTACTTCAACCTCTATGTGCTAAGTGCTTAATGAGGAGACAGCAGGTACCAATTTTAANAAGAGTTTCAACATTCTTGTCTTCTAAATGGATTTTTAGATATTGGGAAACACATTCCTTAAACTCTTCTACTAGAATAAGTTGACGTAAATTTGCAAAATTCTTTTCACACTTTTTGGATCTAAACCACTTATCAAATAAGTCTTCTTTCTCTCTAGCAAATTCTACGTAAGTCTGAGTTTCTATTTTCTTCTGTTTCCTAAATTTTTGTCTGTAAGCATCTGGCACCAATTCATATGCCTTTAAAATAGCCGACTTCACCTTTTCATAATCTGAGCTTTCTGCTAAACTGAGAGCTGAATACACCTCAGCAGCTTTCCCTACCAAAACACTTTGTAAAAGTGTGGGCCATACTTCAAACGGCCATTGGAGATGTTCTGCTATTTTTTCAAATTGTGGGAAAAATTTATCAACTGATTTTTCTTGGAATTTAGGAACTAACCTAATGTTCTTTGCCGCATCAAATTCATACCTGACATGTGAAGTTGATCTTTCACTGTGCTCTAATCTTAGTTTTTCCAACTGAAACTGCCTATCTTTATCTCTTTCTTCTCTTTCTAACCTTTCTTTTTCTAACTGAAACTGTCTATCTTTTCTTAACTTCTCCAGTTCAAATTCATACTCTGAAATGTTGGTTTCTGCCTTAACTATTGGCGGTAAATCATCAGACTTAAATATTTGTTCATCTACAAATTTCTTCACTACTATTCCTCTAACCTCTTGTTTTTTCATGGATGATTTCACAACTAAATTGAAATGTAAAGCTATGGCAACTAACTCATCTTTTTTCAAAGCTTCAAAGTCTGCCACCGTAGGAGATTGGAGAAATTCGGTGACAGAGAATACCATGGTGGAATTGATTTCTGCTGGCTACTATAGTAAATTTGCACACAAAAATTGCTACCGATAAGAAAATCTAAAATCCCGGACGAGCCCCCAATTCTGTTACGGGTCAGAGTACCCAATGCCAGCAAAAATCAATGACAAAAGATTTAAAGAAGTTTTAATATTTTATTAAAACTAAATAAACTAATGACAATAACAATAAGCTATTCTTAATACACAAATAAACCTATCCGAAAGCATGAAGTGTCCTGTCCGATGTGAATCCGTCGAATGTAGAGTGAATGGAGATAAATCGGCTCAAAGTTCAGTGAAAGTGTCCGATGAAATCCCACAGTAATTACGATGCAAGTTCCAGTAGAAAATATGAGTGTCGGTTCAGTGGTAAATAGGTTCCAAAAAAAATATATTCTCCTTCAAAAGTCACAAAACAAAACTCAGTCTCCTATCCGTTCATACTCCCAGCGTCTGTCTAAACTAACGCTCTCGAGATACTCATGCTCTCGCGATATGGTGACGTCATAAGCTGACCTACTTATACACAACACCGTCTACTACTATATAGTAGTACGTTGCCATTACAAATGACTGATTTTTGAGGTTAAATCAATAAAAGTTAAGTCTACAAAACATTTCATTCCCTGACCCAGATAGCAAAAACATATACATGTAGGCCTACAGTATCTGCCATTACATGTCTGTACAGCCGCGATAAGATTATTGATAACAAACAACCTTTGTTCGGTTGCTTCAATCCCAGTTAGATAAAGTTAGTTTGATAATATGTTTAGTTTTGTAAGCTTTTTTTATTTTAGAGAAATATATTTCTATTCACTTGATTGATCAAATTAATACCAATGAAAATTACAATGATAAGAAAGGGGTGCGCCTGCGCAGAAAAGTTAAACTTTTCAGCTTGGCGCTGACGTCATCATATTCTGTTATTACATTAATCTAAGGTCAGCGGCAGGTAACGGAGCTGACATTAGGCCTAATTAAAACACGACCTCAAAAGGAAAAGGAGAAACTGTTAACAACCTTCTTCACGCAGAGAGTCATTAAGTCATCAAATAGAAAAGTAAGTAGCAATTGTTTAGTCAGTGATCAAGTAAATATATTAATAGGCTACTTTTATAAACAAAGGCTGTACATGTGTATACCTTAATTTTTACTTGACTCTAGCCAGCACAGTTTTGTGGACCTAAAGTTTTGAGGGCGTTTTTCTTTTAACAACTTTCGAATGAACAAAGGTGTTTGGCGTTACGTGTATATGTGCATGAATATACGTGGTAGTCACAGTGGAAAGTAGATCAGAATATGGACAACCTGAAAAATACAATGTAGTTAAAATTGTAGCTCACAGAGAGTGACAGTACTATACATGGCTGTCTGAAATAGGTACAGGTATGATGGAGTTTTTACTTGAATAAACTATTAGTTGTTTATACCTTGGATGAACAGACTTTGAAAGAGATTGATAGATTTTTAAGTGTTTTGATAAATGACTGTGGACTTATTGGTTGTTTAAAAGTTCATGAGTTAGATTAAAGTAACCATAAAATTTTATTTCAGATATAAATACTTGAATTATGATTTTTTTTTTTTAACATTCAGTATGGTTCCTGTGGAGTTATGGTCAACTCAATTGTTTGTATGAAATCCGTTATTTTAATTTTTTAACCAGAAGATTTGATGGAAGAGGACATGGCAAGCAGTGAACATGCAAGCCAAGACAAGGTGATAAATGAATTGCAACATATTTAGTAGCAAATAAGCTAAGCAGAGTTTAACTTCATTTTATTGTCAATATTTTGCTTACAGAAATGGGCACAACCTTTTAGAGTGGAATTCCTGATATTTTTTTTATCACATAGTATAAATTAAAGTCATATTTCAATTTAAACCAACTTATGTAGAATAAATTAATTTTACATTAAAAACTGGAAATTGATGGTTTTAAACTTGAAAGCTTGAGCCAACAGGCACCAAACACAGTGTAAACAGTTTATACAGTGGCTGTGAAGGACCAACACGAAGCATGCCCCCCGCCAAACAGCCCAAACTGCACAAGGCTGACTCTGTAGGCTTTAGCATCCCCTTGCAGTGTGTCCAGGCAACAGAAGACAGGCCGAGCACCAAAGTTAACATTCAAAAGCAAATCAACAACAGATCCTTAGAGGGTACACAGCCTTTGAAAGGGATCTGTACAGTTGCAAATAAGCCGCAGTCGCATGTTGACAATTCGATACCAAGGTATATTTTTGTACTTATGATTTATTATATGACAAATGTTAACTTCTTCAATTTGATGAATTATTATAAATAAATCGTTTTATTTGACTTGGACTGTAATCTTTCACATTTAAATTAGTTAAAACCTTCTCTACCTTGACTATTATTTGTTCAGATAATTAGTGGCAAATTTTTATTTGGTAAGAGGGCAAATAATTAAGCTAGCTTGTAGTATTAAATGATGCAAAGTGTAATTTGCATTATAATGGAAAGAGTTATAAACCAGTAATCAAGCAGTTATAAAAATAAATATTGTAATATTTTTTATTTCATTTAGGAAAGTTGCTTTCTCCACTGTTGAAGGACTGAGCCAATACATACATGACCTTGACCACTCTCGTGTGACCTCTGCAACTATAGGGGTCATCGTTTGTGAGGTTATGCATCACCTGAATATATCTAAGACCCCATTTCCATAGATTTTAGATCGATCTATCCCTGTGGGGAGTCTCACTAGATTACTGTCAGCTTAGCCGGCTTAAGCGTCTGTCTCGCCTACTGAAAGCTGTAAGGGGATAATTAACTATGCTGAGCGCTTGGCTGACTGCAATTTAGCGTGAACCCCCAGGGAGTTAGGTCGATCTAAATCTTAATATCTGGATCATTCTAAATCTCTGGGAGTACACCCTAACTCTCACATCACAGTGTTTTTGTTTCCAATGATCCTATAACCAAATAGATCCAAGCTGGCATAGACATTTTCTGCCAAAATGCTTGACATATTTGAAAAAAAAAATTAAGAATTTAAAAATAAAATAAAATAATGCTTTGTTTGTTTGTTTGTTTTATGAGTTCACAAGAAAAAATTAATTGCTTATGCATATTATATACCATATCACATTGATTATGCTATGACATCGACTATTCCATTAAAATTCTAGAAAATAGCGAAAGAACTGGAGGACTGTTTTGATGAAGGTGTACATTATGAGGAAGTGAAGCTGCTAGGACAGGGCACCTATGGTCGTGTTAGCCTGTGCCACACATTAAGTGACAAAACCCGCATCAACTTTGTGAAAAAAGAGGTAATGAAATCAAATTTACAGGATTTTTCCATTGTTTTGGAGTAGAATTTCAATATATATATTTTTTGTCTAGCTTGATCAGCTTAATTATTAATTTCACGAAATGTTTAACATAGTAAATATAAAATTATAAGAATTTTCAATTATATGGTCCTCACGCATCTATAACATATAAATTCATTTAGAAATGCCACCAGGGAAAAAATATATATATGATATGAGATATATTTTCTAATATGAATTCTAAATTTCTTTTAATTGCAGGTGTTTAACAAGGCAAAGCTTCGCAGGAACGAAGTTGTATAGTAGGCTTGTTAAGAGGTCAAACGCTGCATTTTATAGTACAAATGTCTAACTTGGCATAAATGTTCCTTGGGCCAAAAAAAAAAATTTTATCCAAAGAGAGGCCCTCGATCGATATATTAATTAGCATAAATTATGCAAATTATGTGCCAAAATATATAATATTTCATATTTCCATTAATTTTTGGCCTAGAAACATGTATAGATTATCAAACCTGACTAAATTAAGGAACCCATTTTTGATCATTTGGAAGCAATTGGTGGCCATTTTGTGCCTCAAATCCAAGATGGCCGCCACCTGCCATTTTGAAAGTGGACATAATTTTGCTATTTTATGTTAAATTTTGAAGCGTTTGGTCTAACTATACTTGATATATATATCGATTCTTACTATTTTGGGGGTGTAAAAGTCATTTTTGATATTGTTATGGTGATAGTAGGTGATTTGAAGGAACAAAGAGGGTGTTTTAAGTGCCTACCAAGATATGTGTGAACGCTGCAAAACCATGGATATTGATAACCCGCATATCTCAATGCAATTTTTTGTTATATACCATCGCTATTGGACTATATTATGAGCAAAAAAAAAACACATTTTTACCATTATGGAAGCCATTGGTGGCCGTTTTATCCCTCAAATCCAAGATGGCCGCCAAAAACCATTTTGAAATTGGGCATAATTCGCTATTTTGAAAATATATGTATTACATCTTTGTAAATGAGTAATACGTCGTTTTACATTATTTTCTGGTGCAGAATACATTATTTGTTTCATAAAATTTGTGCCTCAAATCCAAGATGCCCCTCATACGCCATTTTCAAATTGAGCATTATTCACCATTTTGAAACTATCACACCTTCATAAGCGTGCCATACGTCATTTTTGATTATTTCCTGGTGCAGAATGCATTTTCGGTTTCATAAAATGTAAATAGAAACTTTTATAAGCCTCCAAATAAATATAGGATTCAGTTGCCACATGGGCCTGCAGTTTATATGTACAATTAGTAATCCAATTAGTGCAAAACTGCTTTTGCCCGATTTATAAAACAGGTGTCAGCAAACAAAATGGCTGCATTAAAGCAAAATAATACATCTTTGACCGCATGAGGATAATTGTTAGCCAATATTTTGATCAAAACCAAGTGTTGGTTGCATGCCGCTATTTTAATAATTTGGTGTAATTTATAACCTTTGAACTGTGGGCTTGTATTAGGTAAAATGGTACTATTCTGGGGGCTCAAAAGTAATTTTCCGGTGCTAATTTGATGACAGAAGGTAATAAAAAGGTACCGTGATATAAGGTTGTAAAATAAATTCCAAGATGAGTTTCGTTGAGTCTGTAACAAAAATGTGGAATCCGAACCACATGCTCAAATATATCATTTAGATTTATCTTAAGTGACCATCCACTAAAAGATACTGAATAATTTAAAGGTAAGCAATAAATATATATGTAACTATGTGTAAATATGCACTAGTCACTCGTCTTGTCTTGTGACTTGCTGTGACTCTGACGCCCTCTAATTGTTCCTTTGTCTGTTTCTTTGTCTATGTCCCTTTGTTCTGTCTTCCCGCGTCT